GGAACCAAAACTGTGACAGTACTGTAAGAAACCTAAATTATGTAATTTGTCCAGATTAAAAATAGTGACCTTCAATAGATAATGGCACTTCCTACCTCCTCCAATAATATTTGTTACAAACCCTTAATACAGCTTTTGCATTTTAATGCAGCTTGACTCCAGCTACTTCAGAAATTATTTTGCAAAGGCATCTGCACTTCTATCAAACATAAATTGTGGGAAACCTGAGCCAGAGGGTCACATGGAGATTTTCTATGCCCATGCCAAAACGTTTTAGGCTTTCTTTCAAGATGGAATATGTCTTGGCGTCCAGAAAGATCTTTGAAGAATATCTTATGGGGTGACATTTAAGGCAGCAAGAGGAACTACCATTGTGGGAGAAAATTATAAAAACCCTTTGATGTTTTGAAGTGTTTGAGCAAATATACCCATGGATCTTTGGAACATGGCTTTTGTGAGAAAAAAGCCATGTCTGCATTTAGTTTTAGGTGATATTAAATGGCTACAATTCTTTTTTTAAAAAAAGCTTCCATGATAATAGGTAAAGGTTTCCCTTGCTCGAAAGCCAGTCGAAACTGACTCTAGGGATGTGGTGCTCATCTCTGTTTCCAAGCTGAAGAGCCAGCGCTGTCCAAAGACATTTTCGTGGTCATGTGGCTGGCATGACTAGATACTGAGGCACACGGAACGTTGTTACCTTCCCACTGAAGCGGTACCTATTTATCTACTGGCAATTTCTTGCTTTTGAACTTCTAGGTTGGCAGGAGCTGGGATCAGAGACAGGAGCTCACTCCATCATGCGGCACTCGAGTCTCGAACTGCTGAACTACCTTCCGGTCTGCAGTTCAGTGTCTTAATCACTTAAGGCCCCTTAAATGAATTGGGACTTAATTCTGAGTAGACCTGCTAAGAATTGCTTCCAAAATGTATGCATTTGGTTCTAGAAACATAAAATGCTCATTTCCAGAGAAATGTAAACACAAAATAAATACCATCAGGAAGGTAGTATGTTATCACACTAGAATAAAAATTATTTGGCAAGGAGGAAGAAGCTCCTGGGTTCTTGTGTGGGTGATTCTACACATGGCTTTATTTAATGGTTTGGAAACCTTTGCATGATTATTGTATTCTCACCAGAATTTTAGTGGCACAGCTTTGGAAGCACAACTGTTGAAAGTAGGAAATGGAATTCCAGATTGGCTATAAATGACTAAAACATAATCCAGGAAAAAATTGCTAAAGATAGGGAGAGGGCATTTTAAATCAGAAGTTCAAAACTGAAGTAACTGGAAAAAGCAGGGTAGTTTAGAAAGGTATGGGAGAAACAGAATGTAAATCAGCACATTATTTTGATGCTCTAGTGTGTATGTATAGGTACCCATAGAGAATATCGCTACCAAACTATGAACTACTCAGGTATTGCTGAACTCATTTCTTGTATGATACCCTTTCTTTGGAATATCAGCCCTGACAGAATATGAGTGGAATATTTGCTTAGGCTGCTGATTAATTATGACAAGGAGACTTTGGAGGCTAGTGTTATAAGACAGATGTCATCCATGTATTGAGAAAAACACTTTCAGAATTTGTAACATGTTTAGAACAGTGCTGAAAACTATTTCAGTAAGGTGAATATTTCTCCTACTTAGTATGTGTAAATGTTTACCTTTTTATCTTCCTCAGTACTAGTTTTCTGCTGGTGGCTTCTGCGTCTATAGATTAGGCAGTTGGATGAACATGTAGTGAACAGGATGATGTAGTAATGCTACGAAGCCAATGAGCTTTAGATATGTGAGAATGTTGCTGTAAATAAGTAAAGTCACCCTGACCTGGATAGCCCAGGCTAGCCCAATCTTTTCAGATCTCAGAAGCTAAGAGGGTCGGCCATGGCTAGTATTTGAATGGGAGACCACCAAGGAATACCAGGGTTATGACATAGAGGCAGGCTATGGCAAAACACCTCTGAACGTTTCTTGCCTTGAAAACCCTAGGGGGTTGCCGTAAGTCAGCTGTGACTTGATGGCAACAACGAAGGGCGATTTAAATGAATAGCTGAACTATTTTTCAAAGTGTTCTACAAATTCACAAAAAAGTGGAGGCATGCCAAAAATTGTTAGCTCAAAACAGAGGAATATATTTGGTGAACACTAAAGTTAATGTGTTTTAGATGTATCCATCTTTCTAAATCTCCCTGAGTTCATATACCAGAAAATGTATATCTGTTATCTTGGAATGTTATTTTACTTGTGAAATTCTATCCCGTGTACTTGTGTTGTGCATCCTGCAGCCCTAACCCAAAAGGCACATTTCAAGTAGTATATAACCATAGAATCTTGTGTGTATTAAAACAACAAAATGCAGGCTCAAGGCAGTTTATGAAAATACTTACTATAAAACTTTCTTAGTAAAACCAGTGCCCACTCCTGCATGTGCATACATACAAGGTGTAACATAGAAGCTGGAGTTGCACTAGCAGCCAACTATAATGTAACTAAAAATGCAGAGTTTAAAAAAATTATTTTGGATAGTTAAAAACAAAAGGCAAAAAAGAAAAATTGTGTTTCATGTGTGCCTGTCACAGTTTGAATTTAAAGAAACTTTGTTTGCAAAAATGGGGTGAGGGGACAGTAGAAATTCAGTGTTTGCCTTCCTTGGTGAAAAGATATATTGAAATATGCAACAAGAGCCACATATTTAGCTTTGAGAAGCATCATCTTTGCTATGAAGAAATTGCTAAACATTATAATTTAGTTTCTTTCAGAAGAAATTTAATATGGTCAGTGTAAAGCAAAGAGGCTATTAAAAATTAAGTGAAAATGCTGAGTGGACAAAACAAATTTCATTATATGGATGGTCCATCACTATAACCTTAGTAGTTCCATTATATGTTACTAATCAGTGATTGTGATCTGTTTTTTTAAATGCTTTTCAGTGTTCAGATATTCTCTTGTTTGCATTATGATGGAAGAATATCTTCATTCTGAATGATAATAGAACTATCTTTGTTGAATTACTTTAAAGAACATCTAACTTTGCTACAACAAAGATGTTTTTGAAAAATGCTTTATTTGTAAACTGTAATGAAATATATATGGGCATATATGCACACACAAAGAAATGGGAAATGAATCTAATTTGGCTAATTTGCCTCTTTAATACCACTGGAATGGTGAGCATAACCTGTATTGTCTCAGTGTAATATGTATTAAAACTGGTGTTTATGTGAAGAATAACATTGTTTGCATCACTGCATTCTTGTTCATGTTATGTTTGGTAAATGTGCCCTTGATCAACTGAAATTGTAAAATCTCTTTCCTGGTTTTCTGAATTTGAAAATTACTCCTGGGCCATTAGAATTTTTAAAAGAAATCTTTATTTCCAGTACAGAGAGAACACTTAACATGCCCCCCTCTGTGGTTACTTAAATCCAGATATTGGGGCCATGGGCTGACAAGACAGATCTTTCTACATAGAAACAGTGCCTGTTGCATTAAGAAACAAATGCCATTAGTGGCTGTTGCTAGGCGACTGCAACAGTATTGCCAGCCATCAAGCTTGGTCCTTTTCAGTAAAAGGTAGGGGGCAGGGCCTGTTTTGGCCAGTCGCAGCAGCAGCATTGCAGGCCTGACTGCTCACTACTGTTCAAGAGCAACCATCACATGAAAGCCAGTGTGGGGTTGTGCTTAGAGTTTCAGACTAGGATCTGTGAGATCCAGGTTTGAATCCTCACTCTGCTATGAAAGCTCACTTAGTGACTTTGGGCCAGTCACACCCTCTCACCCTATCATACCTCAGAGGATGGTTATGAGGATAAAATGGAGAAAAGGAGAACAATGTGAACCACTTTGGGTCCCCGTTGGGGAGAAAGCCAAGGTATAAAGTAAGTAAGTAAGTAAATTCATCTGAAGATGAGGGCAGATAATAAGCTGGTGGGTGGGACAGAGAGAAGGTAATGGGTGGGATATAGGGGAAAGTGAGGTACCCTCTGCAAGTCCTTGATGATTCTCCATGTCTGAGACTTCTAAGAGAAGTAAACTCTGCTGCCAACACCACTCAGAGGGAGAGAATAGGTGAAATTGTACCTTCTTGCTACCACTGATCACTCCTTCACCCAGCTAAGCAGGCTGGTGATTCTAGTTAGCAGTAGCAATTGCTGCTTGCTCACCTGTTCTTTTCCTGTGGACTATAATGGTGGCTGCTGTAGCTCCTAGTACTTTTTAGAAGAAGAAGAAGAGAAGAGATTGGATTTATACCCCGCCCTTCACTTGGAGTCTCAGAGCGGCTTACAAACTCCTTTCCCTTCCCCTCCCCACAACAGACACCCTGTGAAATGGGTGGGGCTGAGTGAACTCTGACATAAACTGCTCTTTCAGGAACAGCTGTCCCAGAGCTTGTGACTGACCCAAGGTCACATCAGCAGGTGCAAGTGGAGGAGTGGGGAAATCAAACCTGGTTCTCCCAGATTAGAGTCCGCGCACTTAACCACTACACCAAACTGGCTTTACATCTTGTATATGAGCTATTACCACAGGAGGAAAAGGGGAAGTCCACTGAATGGCATCTTATGGTGCCTCTCCTATTGTTATTTACGCGGACCACTGCCAGGGGTCCACGGTTATAGCAGGAGCTTGGTCCCCAAACACAAAGGGGACCTAGGATTTTAGTCCACCAGGAGTCCACCAATAGCACTCTTGGCGGGAGATTCAAACCCTCCAATGGGGACAGAGGTGTGCCGGGTGGAGTGTATATAGTTGGCCTTGCAGGGCCATTTTGTGTGTCTTGTTGTGAAGTACAATAAACACGTCTGAACGCATGTCGTGGTCCGAGTTCTCCATGCGTCGAACCCAGTACTTTTCACCTATCTTGTAGTGAGCCCTGGCAAACTTCAAAATTGTTTTGGTGGTTGGGCAAATGGTGTGTGGAGTACTTTTGGGGATGGATTTGGATTTTCCTGTTGCTTATGGACTTGTTTAAACATATCCATCTCCTTTGTTTTATAGTGTACCTGTAGGCAAGACATGGTAACAATATCAATGGATGTCTTTGTGAAGAGATTCCAGCCTGACAGGTACCAGCTGTGGAAACAAGGAAAAGATTTATACACCATCGATCATACAAAACCCACCCCTGAAATGACACCTGAGGTAAAGGCCTGGTTGCAGAGAAGAAGGAAAACAAAGAGATCTTCCAGGTGGTAATGAATGTTTTGTGCTCTGTTTACTTTAAGTTAAATATGCTGTGATTTCCATTTTTTTAGTGCTTTACCCATATTCTCCCACCCATTTCATTTGAGTTGTTCATTTATTTCAGTCAC